GTAAACTGTCTATAAAATCAATTTTTAGCAAGACATGTCATATTTCTTTAGCTTATTAACATGTGTTTAGATATCCATGTAAAATAAACTTGTAAAATTCATACATTTAAACCAGAGTTTTCTTTTATAAACATCCTGCGGTTGTCAGCGCGCAATGAATCTTGGGTTCACCGGTTGTGTATGAGACACAGCTATAGTCTTTGACACCACCCACTAATGAGATTAAATGATACGTATGTTCACTTCCACTTCTCACTTTTACTAATAAAGCCCAATTAGCCCAAATTTTTTAGTAGACCACACAACAAACATAGTTTAAAGGGCACCTAGGTTACCCCTTTTTTCAGATTTAATATAAGTCTTTTGCGTCTCTAGAATGTGTATATAAAGTTTCAGATCAAAATACCCATCAGATTTTTCATTATACCTTTTACAAGATGCTGTTTTATACTGATTTTCAGCAGGGGGTGGTTTTGTCGTACTGTGCCTTTAAGCCGAGTCTTTCCCGCCCACTATTTCTACATGCCTCCTCCCTCAGGTGCGTCAGACAACAGACAGACTTAAAGGAAGAAGGTCTCACGTAGCGTTTGTGAGATACTACAGTAAGAACTAACCTTTACTAATCAGTATTGTGAAGTTGCATTGATGAGCGTGCACACACACACACACACACACACACACACACACACACACACACACACGCACACACACACATACACACACACACACACACACACACACACACACACACACACACACACACACACACACACGCAGGCAGGCAGACAGACAGAGCGCGCTTAGCTTAGTTAAGGCTAACCTCAAGTACTGTGTGGATATCTGTTATGCTAATGTACAAAATAAACCTGATTTAACTTCCACAAACCGGGATTGAAGCGTCTTCTTTTATAATTGTTCTGACACGCGGCTGTGCTGATGAAGTAAAGCTGAAGTAAAACGCTGTAATTAATTACACACATACTCTGTTTTAAAACACTTTAAACATGTGAAACTTACTCTTAATCACATTTGATGATGATTGCTGATCCTAGCGAACAGAACAGAGCTTTTATTCCCGGTTGCTTTGCGTATGTCTGTCTGGTCTTGTTGACATATACACGCGACTACCGGAACTTGTTAATGCGCGCAGCTGTCAATAAATTCGGTGGGCGGGGGGATCGCACACCTACGTAATGGTGCGATTGATTTGAAAACAGCTCCAATTGGCTGACCCTTTTTTTGTAGTTAAATTGAAAAAAAAGGACTGGGTGTGTTCATATCACCCCAGTATGACGGTCTATACACTATACCAACACACAGATCTGTCCAAACAGCTTGAAAAGTAGATTTTTTACCCTAGGTGCCCTTTAATACCCCATGGATCCTGATAAAAGAAGTGGTGCTCCGGCTAATCAAGTTACACTGTTTTTGCTTCACATTACAGTTAGTTTACCCCCTGAAACAGAGTCAAGGGAGCCATGACAACTCTTGAGTCTTAGAAGAGGCTTGTCGTTATGAATAAATGTTTGTATACATTTTTTGGTGGATCTTGGAGTGCGCACATGGTGAACGGACTGTGCTTAAAGACATCTGGATGCGATGAAATAGAATTTGTTTAAACAAAATGAAGCCCCTCTCTCTCCACCTGGAAAGCCACCCAGAGCGCTCGCTGCTCATCACTACATACTTGTGCACTGATTTTTAATAGGACTGTATTGACTGATATTTCAGTACAGCAGCGTGAAGGCTTTTGAAATTGCGTGATGATTTACACAGCTCTTGCTGAAAGAGTCGACACGAATGCCACGACTTTAAACATGCTGAATTGAGGGAGGCAAAACAGGACATACTTATATTTCTTCTTTGTTTTTCTTTCTTTTTTCTTTGTTTTCTTCATTTTCTTATTCGTTTTCATTTTCGTTTTCTTTTTCTTTTTCTTCTTCTTCTTCTTCTTCTTCTTCTTCTTCTTATTATTATTATTATTATTATTACATATTTGAATTAGCACGTATTTTGTATAAATATAAGTAAAATGATTAATAAAAAATTTAACAATTATTATTATAATAATAACATAAAATAATAGTTAAAAAAATAATAATAATTAATATTAGTTATAATAGTAATTAATAGCTGTTATTATTATTATTATTATTATTATTAAAATTATTTCACATTTGAACTAGCAAGTATTTTATATAAATATAAGTAAAATAATTAATAAAATAATATAATAATAATTATTATTATAAAAATATAATAATTGTTCTTATTAATAATAATTATTATTAGTAGTTATAATGTTTAATAATAGTGTATAATAGTAGTTAATAGTTGTTGTTGGTATTATTATTATTATTATTATTATTATTATTATTATTATTATTATACAGTCTAAAACTGTGGCTCATGTAGCTCCTGTGCTTGTCTTCATGAGTTGTTCTGGAGTTTTGCATATGAGAAATAAAGCCTATAATAGATGAAATAAAATACGTCTTCTGTATTTATGTCTAACCATTCTTTAATGAAACATTTTTATTTGCACGCTTAATGGCGTTTCCTTTGACTGCATCAGCTGGAATGTAAATAATAATAATCCATCTAAATGTAAAATACTCCTCTGCGATCTATGGAATATTAATCAGGATGTTTAATGAGCGATTTCTGACGAAGGGCCCGACAAATGGAAAGAGCACGAGCAGGATATGTGCGTATGCATGAGACACCTATAGATTGATCAACCTCTTAATTCTATTTTAACAAATAGTCCAGGAGTCTTGGAAGGCGAAGCGGGAACATGACTAGGATAATAAGCATCATGGAAGCTAATCAGATTTCTAAGAGGAATTGATTGTTGGTTTTGCAGAAAGAGCAGACGAAGGCTTGACAATAAGCTGAAATTTAAGTGTTAATTTTTATGCTAATCTCCCAGCAATCTCCACGTGATGCAATTTGCTCCCCTGCTCCGCAGATATGAAATTGTCCCGCTCACAGAGAAAATGTCAGCTTGCCAGACCCTGAAAGCTTGTAATTTATTAGGTATGTTTCTATTAGTATGTGTCACACTTGTTAGCCAGCCTCTCTCTCGCTCATGCACATGCAAAGTCAGACTATGGCGCTCCATGTGTGCGTGGCTCAGCCCCGCGGCCTTAAAGAACGTCTCAGCTCACTGGCTGTAGCACCAGGGCATTAATGTATTATCATATATCGGGTGGTCCTTGCCCTGTGGACAAAAGGCTGTTTAATACAATTTAATGACATTCCCGAGCAGGAGGGAGAGAGGGGGGAAAGAAAGGGCAAAGCCCAGATTAAATTAGCATTTGTGGTTCTTATAGTTCACCCATGCAAAACTTTGCAACAGAGGCGCTATGAGTCCTCCTCCCATCTTCCGTTTTTATCTCCAAGTGAATACAGGAGTTAAAGTAAGAGTTGGATAAACCGATAAACACAACACAGGTTGCAGCTCATAACCTGTCAGCGACACTCATGTTCCCCTAAAGGCCACGGTGTGATTGATTTCCTGCGCGGCGCAGTGATGTCATCCATAAGAGACGCGAGGAGCTGACAGACATCTCAGTGGCCGCGCCGTTTACCGACACGGCTTTCTTTGTCTTCATCTGTCTGCGCTTCACTTTACACATCTCTATCGCTCTCCTCCCGAACACAGACCCTCCCCTCATTTCCTCCCCGTTCGTGTTGTGTAAGGAAGCCAGTGCCCGGCATCCAGTGTTACACTCCGTGTAGAAGGTTTGGATGCAATTCACATATAGGTCAATTAAATGCGCCAACATCTGCTCTCTTCTAACCATTTGCATACAGTATTCATATGTTAATGATGTCCCTTGTTTGTGTGTGTGTGTGTGTGTGTATGTTTGTGTGTGTGTGTTTTTCACTTCCCTCCTTCTTGTCTCTCCTTTTTTTTCTGGTAAAAACAAAAAAAAAATCAACTGAAATAGAATTTTTTTTGGATTCAAACTGCTTCATGTGGCGACTCCAAACCGGATAGTGCCGTCCTATTTTTATTTCCTCTCTCTCAGCGCGCTCGCTGAAAGCAGAAACTCCTTTACTGCGAGCAACGGGCTTGTTCAGCTGCCATTGGCCCTGATTTGAACAAGAATCCTTCCACTGTAGCTGCAAAGGAAGTCCTTGCCTTTGGAAAGCAGCTTAACGCCTTATAAATCAGTGATGAGGCAGATGGACCAGCGATAATCTATTTAGAATGCCTCACAGCAAATATTGTCGTACAGATGATTAGAGATTGAGCTATTTTAACTCGGCCTTCTCCGCCCTCTCAGCAAATCTTCTGCTTCTGTGAATGATTTAAATTGGAGAGTTTCTTCCTTTTTTTCCCCCCCTTGCCTTTCCTCCCCTAAATATATCTGTGTTTTCAAATCACGAAACGAAGTGGTGAAGTGTACATGGTTTACGCCGCCATTTTCTTGGCAGGCTTCAATGGCGTGCGGCGGAACAAAGAGAGCAGGGAGATGGGCCCGAGCCAACAGGCTAATGACAAAACGCACGCTTCTTAACCCAATATTAGTAGCGGGACGGTGCAGCATGTGAGGTGCCGGAGCCACACCGGAGGCCTCCCGGTTAGGTCCCGATTTAGCACGAGGCCACGGAAGACGGGCTGGACGATGGATGGGTAGACAGGGAGCGAGAGAGGGAGGGAGGGCGGAGTGCGAAAATGAAGTGGAGGTTGTCAGATGTGGCAGCTGCTTGGAATCCTGATAAATATAAGTCCTTATTGATCGGCTGAAAATGAAAGATCCCAGAGTGGCGTGCAGTATTTAGCTTCTTGTCTGCTGAGCGCGTCAGCGGTGGCCTTGCCTCGCTGGGATAGATTTTCAGCGGCGCTCTGAGCCACGGCTTTGATTTCATCTTTAACCTTTTTCGGCTGCTTTTCCTTGACCTCTGCGCCACTGCTGTGATTCAGTGAATTTGTTACATTTGGCCTGACATCCTCTCTCTCTCTCTCTCTTTTTCTTTCTTGCTGACAGAGTAAAGACTCATCGCAGCTGTCATCGCTTGTTGCCGTACAGACTCAGTGGCGGGGTGAGTCACGGTCTCTTCAACCTGACGGGCCCCGGACCAGTATGCAGTTAGAGTGATCAGGTAAGCCAACGTTCACCTTGCACTCCACTAGTCGTAACGCGACACCGCTTCTGGACCACATACATTTAGCAGGCTGATCCCAGATCTGCGCGCTTGAGCGGTCCTTAGATAAGACATGAAGCATGCTCACTTAGCCGCTGGTCTCAAATCATCAGTGTCAGGACGAGATTAACTGATCCCAGAGTCTGATCCCTAACAGACAGTCCATTTGAAGTGGCACGTTTTGTGCTGAACGGCAGTAATCTTCCCCTGCGATGTGTCTTTAAGCTGAACACCTAAATGACATATAAAAGCCCAATTTAGAGCAATTGCTTCTCCAATTCGCTCTTCTGTCTGTTTCAAGCCTTTTCACTGACACCTTTTATATGTGGCCATCATGAATTTTTAGTATGTTTAAGAAGATATATTGCAGTGGGAGACATAGTCTGCTTGTGTTTGAAGACTTATATCTGTAGGGGTCAATGTTTGATTGGTTGTGCATTTAGCCGTGACTTATAAATATAATACCTTTTTTTTTTTTTTACAAGTTTTTAAATTATTATTCAAATGTGCATTTGCCATAAGAGTAATTGTTTTTTAAATAAAAAAATTGTTTTGAATACATAAATGAATAAATAAATAAATAAATAAATAAACAAATAAATAAATAAATAAATAAATAAATAAATAATTGAATGAATTAATAAATGAATGAATGAATAAATAAATAATTAAACAAAGAAATAATTAAATAAACGAATAAATAAACAAATAAATGAATTAGCAAATAAATAAATAAATAAATGAATAAACAAATAAACAAACAAATAAACAAACAAACAAATAAATAAATAAATAAATTAACTAATAAATAGATACATAAATAAATTAATGAATAAGCAAATAAATAAATAAATAAATGAATGAATGAATGAATGAATAAACAAACAAACAAATAAATAAGTAAGTAAATGAATAAATAAATAAATAAATGGTGCCTTATTTTAAACTTTCAGACAGTAAAGTATATTTAAGAAATAACCGTCGATTTTAAGTGAAACTTGTGTTTTTAGAATTTTTCCCAGCAACCTTTTCACTTATCAAATTTCATACATTTATTTTATTAATAACCAGTGTTGTGTAAGTTACTTTAAAATAGTAATAGATTACAAATTACTTACTACTACTGGAAAATTGTAATCTGATTACATTAATAATTTCTCCATGTAAAAAATAACCAGATTACTAATCACTTTACTTTGAAGTTACTTTTAAAACATAAAATATACTTGTAAAAAAATACACTCAGAAAATGTGAGCGTGCGCAATATCAAAGTTAGGCAAGTTTAAGGGAAGTTTAAGGCAACCTTTAAGGCAAGTCACCTCTCAAGCAGTCTGCTCGGGCATTCTATCTAAATAGGGAAACATCAAATTAAGGTTCTGATTGAATTTCATATTAGGAATCACCAATGAAATTAAACAAAAGCTGTCTCTTTAGTTTCATTTCTAAACATCTAAATCACACTAAATCTGCAGAAACTGCTCTGAGCCCCTTCCCCGGAGTATTGTCTGTCTATAGTGATCGATGATTGGCTCCTGTACTAGAAGACAGGCTTTTTTTGTTTTATAGCAATCGACAATTGGCTGCTGTACTAGTAGGCGGAGCTTTATTCACCATATTGACCGTTACATTTTTCCCCATTCGAAAAAGAAACGAGTGACATGTCTTGTGTATTCTGAAGTATTCTGAAGGCAACATGCACTCCAAATATGTGTGCACAAGCCACATGCCTCTATTGGAAATAACGAACTTGCGAGCGCAAAAGACAGCCCTGTAAGCAGCTATGCTTCTCTTCACATTCACATTCCTGCACAAAAATCCAATTTAGTTGGTTTAGGCTGAGTTGGGCTGCCATGTTTTTGCCATGTCAAACACTCTCGACAGCAGACATTTCAGCTTGTGTCAACAGCAATTTAAAAGCATATGCATATTAACTGACGATGATGATTCAATGATTTAAAAGAAGCAGTTTTTTTATTCTAAAAACTATCATTTTAACGTAAGTAAAGCAATTACGGTAATAGACTTTAAGTAACTGTAATCAAATTACACAACTTTAAAATGTAATTTGTTACAATACTGCGTTCCTCAAAAATGTGATTAAAATACAGTAATGCGTTACTGTGGAACTATTTTAGTGCATAGTGGAATTTTAATTAAGCTGAATTTCAACTCTGAAATCTGAACTTTACAAGAACTATGTTAAGCCGCTTTGACACAATCTACATTGTGAAAAGCGTTATATAAATAAACATGAATTGAATTGAATATTTATTTATTATTATTGTTTTAGGGTTTAAATTTGGCTTAATCACTGGCAGATTCAGTCTATGTGATTACATTCCCAGCTTTTAGAAAGTTGTAAAACAGAAACTGAATTTCTATAATAAAACATCTGAGAAACATTTAAAACAAAAAAAAGTGAGCCATGCATTTTACTGCACTTTGCATTATTAAAAAATTACAAGTGTGATCTTTAAATCAAAACCAAGAATGAACTGAAGCAGTAACTATTTACATTTTTCACATTTTATGGGAAAAACTGAGTAAAAGCAGCCCATGAATTAAAAGTCTTCTCCTCCTCCTCCTGAACAATGCTCCAGCACACTTTTAGATAGATTATAAATCCCCCTATGAGAGAGCCTGCAACAGCTGTTGGCAGACATACTAGATATGAGAATAGCAGCATAGGATGAAGGAGCATTAAAAATTAATATGCTATTTAGCCTAGGTGTATTTTAGGTATTTGACATTTTCATGTCCGGGACAGACTAAATTTATTCATAGTACAGAAAATAAAAAAAAAATAAAAATAGAAAAAAGATTGTGAAGGGGTGTTAAGAGAGCTGTAAGCGGAGGCCGCTGGCTTTCTTTCTTTCTTTTTTATGGTCACCCTTTCATTCAGTAATGATAGGTGTTAAGACATCGTCTATGGAGGAGACTGGAGCCCATTATGAGCGCGGTAATAATTAGCACATTGCACAAAGGGAACCGTTTGCCTCTTAAGCCTCTGCTTAATGCTTTTTTGTTGTATTGTTTTGCTATTTTTATTTCTATTTATTTTGTTTTCTGGTGTTTTTTCCCATCTCTTTGTGTTCTGTTGAATGGTTAAAGGAACTGTGTGAGCGAGTGTGTGCGCGCGTGTGTGTGTGTGTGTGTGTGTGTAGACGAGACAGTGAGAGTGGAAATCCCAGCTTCAGTAGTGATTAATTACTAATACTCCCTCAGAACATCTCTCTATCCCTGACTATCTAATCACACTGAAATCTAAGACATGTCCTGAGAGGAGAAGAGACGATAGGACTACATGGACCATCTCTCTCTCTCTCTTCATTGTAACTTTATCAATCTCACAATCTCTCTTCCTTTTCCTTAAAGGAACAGTTCACTCTGAGATAAATCATTTTACACAATTGTCCTCTCATGTTTCTGAAAACTGTGTCCTTCCACAAAGAAATGTCCAAGAATGTCCAAGCTGCTCAGTTCCGAATAGTTAAGTCGATGGTAACTTCATATGTCACCAATTGAATTGAATTGAATATTTTCAGGGAAAATATATAATAATAATAATAATAATAATAATTCCTTACATATTTCACCAGATTGCACACCACACACCAGCTGATTGTTAGAAAGGAGATGAAGCCAATTATGATATGGTTATGGTTAGGAGGCCATGATGGACAGAGGCAAGTGAGCAAATTTGGCCAGGGTGTCAAGGTTAAACCCTTACTCTTTTTAGAAGGACATCTTTTTTAGCAACCACAGGGTGTCAGGACCTCGGGTTAACGTCTCATCCAAAAGACGGGACTCACTAAGCAGTATAGAGTCCCCTTCACCATACTGGGGTGTTAGGACCCACACAGACCACAGGTTGAACGCCCCCTACCGGCCTCACTAACACCACTTCTGGCAGCAACCTGGCTTTTCCATGTGGCCTTCTACCCAGGTACCGATCGAGCGTAGCCCTGCTTAGCTTCTGTGGGCGACTATGTGAGAGTTGCAGAGAGCTAGCTGCCAGCTGTAATTTCAGTCTGTTCTTTACAGAAAATTGCAGTAGTTAGATTTCAAAGCCAAAAAAAAATATTACTTTTATAGCAAGAGTGACTTATTTTTAGCCATAAGTGTGAGCCTGGACCACTTACTTTTTGTTGCACAGGTATAGTTTTTGGCAGTTGCCAAAAAGTACATTGTATGAGTCAAAATTATACATTTTTTTTTAAATGCAAAATTTTTTATTTTTTATTTTTGTAAATTCCTACTGTAAATATATCTTAAATTAGACAACTTTAAAAATGATTTTCTTAGTATTTTTTATTTTGAACACCCAGATTTCAGATATTCAGGTAGTTTTATCTCATACCATTTTTTAAAGACTAACAACCTATATTCCAATATAAATCGTATTTAATCAGTCTTCAAGTGAGTCAATCTAGTGTAAATCTCAATTTCGAAAAACAAAATGTACATTTATGACTAGTTTTAGTGACTAGGTCACAATTTATAAAACATGAAATACAGAATTATGAGGAACATCAATTCATAGCCACAGCCATATCACCCTGCAGCCCAAAACGGTTACTCACTGAAGCTAGGGTTGAGCCTGGCCACTACCTGGATGGGAAACCAGATTGGAAAACTACACTCTAAAATCAAAAATGTAAAGGCAACTCAAACCGTGTGAGGAAACCGATTGCAACAATCCTTTGAAGTTCAAAAACTAATCCTAACGAGTACTGTGAACTTAATCTATTTGAGTAAACAAAGCAATTTGAGCACAGTAAAACCCAATAAATGAAGAGATCTCAAACCAACTGAGTACTGTAAAACCCAATAAGTTAAGGCAACTCAAACATTTACATTAAGTAACATGGTCTTTGTGTCATTATTGTATTTTTTTCTGAAGTTTCAAATGAAATCAAATCCAATCACTGTTGCTTTCTAGATTCATTAGATCTCA